CGATCTACATCTCAAGTGACCACATCGGGAGACAAACAATAATACACTTTATTATTGCATCTACCACGATGAATAACAACAACCTTTTCCTTGACAAATATCATGGAGTTAAATTGTATAGAGTATTTTACTGGAAAAATATACAGTTTGTAAAATTCATGCGTATTTTCCATATTATTCCATGTACTTTCCATATCCTCACTAGTCAAGATATAGGTGACTTCTTTGATAATTATCATGTTTGACCTTTTAACTTAAATTTGTTGGTGTATGATCAAAACAAATTCAGACGTTTTTTGTGGACATCAGACAATTTTTTGAGAATCCTGGGAAATCTTCCGATAGTGGCCAGAAGTCTTTGGAAAATAGTGGTATAGCACGCTCATTGGGCCCGTAGCCAATTAGAAGGCCGAATTTAGGCTACGTGACTGCTCTTAGCCAATCAGAAGGCCAGATTTCATCCAAGATGGCAGAACTGAAGATTCGCCCTGGTTTCCTTTTTGCAAAAAGTCCCTGTCAAAACCTGGAACCAATAAGGTTGGATTGGGGTGCACGTGACCCGATAAATGATGTAAGCAAAACAGGCACTAATTTTTGGGTGGGCAGAATGCCCTACGTGACTGTGCTCAGTCGCGTCAGCCTTTACCCTCGCTTACGTCAGATTTTACCCTTGCTTGCGTCAGCTTTTTTCTCTCGCCCGCGTCAGGTGGGCAAAACGCCCTATGTGACAGTGCTTGCTCATATCAGATTAAAAAGCACTTCAATTGACTCGGCTCATTTGAAACACGCTGTCCTGGGTGAAGGTTGTGAGAGAAAAACGACCATGGCTGATCGTTCAACAGATATTTTGGCCCTGTGGAAGAAAGTGGAAGCAATGAAGAAAATGTAGAGGAGGAGAAGGCAGAAGAGGAACAGGAAAAAAGGAGGATAGTAGCAGCTCTGAAGAGGAAGGAGAAGTGGAGGATGATGAACCAGACTACAATCCGTGGAATCTGTTGCGTAAAAAAATGGGGGAAGATCTCAAAGAACCCTTCATGAAAGAAATGGAACGGTTCCTAGATAGGGGAAAAACCCAAGACTATGCAGAGAATGCCGCTTTCAATACCCTATTACTTGTAAGTAGAATAAGGCTACAAAGGACTTACTTAGGAGTGTCTAAAATGGACTCACCATATCAAACACGACACAATACACCATAAAGTCATGAAAACTCTTCAACGCTTTATTGACGAAGACGACATGGATTCTGACGAAGCAGCAGAGTTAGCAGTGGGAAAACCAAAATTCTTGTTAAACAGAGTTATGCAGAAGTTACTCCCCGACGAGTTGGATGAAGGAGAGTGACTGTAGGGTTTCAATCATTATTTGTAAGACCCACCCAAGGTGAATTCCTCCAATCAATCACCGGAGAAAGGCAAGAAGGTTGTTTGTGGGAGAGCCTACTATAAAAGATATTAGGGAGCTTGAGAAACCATGATGGTGATGTCGAGGGCAATGTCAACTGAAAAATGAGTTTATATTTTACCTACAAATCTCGCGGTACCCTAAAGTCATTTAATTTGTTTATAACTGTCGAAACTATCACAAAACTGAATCTAGGGCACATCGATAAATTTGAAATAAAAAATTTAAAAAGTGAGTTGTTGTGGTTCACGTTCTCCAGACAACGCAGAATTTGGTCATTTCGCATTGTTGTTTTTCAGAGGACGGCAAAGAAATGTACCAAGAATTATAACGCTCGTGCTCAGCCACTGTTCTCCTCATTAAACCTTTTGTTTAGCGACGTTGCTGTTGCCGTTACCGTCATGGTTTTCTTAAGCTCCCTATTATGCAGAGAACAGGGAGCGAATCCTGACTCAGCACAAACCATGGCGTACAGAGAACGCCAAGATTCTCAAAAACCCGTCGTAAAAGATTGCATGAACACAGACAGGGATCTGAGAAAGTGCGAATGGAAATGAGTCTAGTTCCCAACGAACATGCGGTTACACTTTGTAAAATATCAACATAATTCTTATCATGTTCCATGGTTGTTTCAGAAAACAAAGTTAAAAATACACTGAATTTGACGAATCAATCAGGTGTTGCATGATTCCTGAATGTGACCCATTCGTGACGTCACCAAACATGAGGAGATATCCCCACCCCACTGTACCCTTAAGCACCCAGAGACTGGGCAACACATCGAGTATATACTTAGGAAATATGTGGTCCTCATCATAACAAAAACACTAACAACCATCAAGCAGTTTGGTTAAAACCATGATTGTATGTGGGATTATGCAATAATATTGCATAAACACACATAGTCATAGGTCTTGTTGAAGGTTTGAGGATTTTATGAAACCTGAGAATCTCTCCCCTAATGAGAGTTAACAGTTAATGAACATGGTGAAAACTTGCCTGATGAAAGTTAATAGTTAATAAGATAGTGAAAACTCAAAGATGTAATCGGATCGTTGCATTTACAAATCGGCAGACAAAATGAGCATCTCGTTTCAAGAATGTGCTTATACGTAGAGCCTGTTTTTGCAAAGTTACAAAGTTACAATTTTGCAAAGTTACAATTACTATTACAAATTGGACTCTACTCAGTCTAATTACCATCATTAATCGGTGGTACAAGGGTGAACCCGAGAAGTTCCTTTTTGTGAGTCCTTTTGTGGTAACAACATTTCGATGTCATGGTTTTCAATATCAGTATACATCAAGTATTACTAAGTATGGTTATAAACCAAACCAAGACAGGAAGTTCCTGCTGTCTTCTCCATTCCATAAACTGTTCCTCCCCTCCCCCTCTTGTCCAAAACATTATTCTGGCTTTATTCATATGTTTTGTTTATTGCTTTTTGGTTGTTGTTATGTCCAGAATTCAGGTGCTGATGCTTTGGAGTTAAACTTATCGTGTCCTCATGGGATGGGAGAGAGAGGCATGGGCTTAGCTTGTGGCCAGGTATGTACAAATTAAACAGGCTCCATTAAGTTACCCTTAGTTTAGCCCTTTGGGTAAAAATATGCAGTCAGCAGACGACCATCTATTTATTTTATAGTGGCTGCTTATGAACATGGTTTTATCTTTTCTGGTTTCTAAGCAATGAAGGTCACCATGATGCCTTATTCTTTGTTTTTAAAGAAGGCTAATTTTCAAGAAATTTGATTTCAAATGTTCAAGTGTTTTTTTACGTTTTGTAGTATAGCACTACTTCACGCAAGCTGCCGCAAGAAGTAAAAACGTCCTGTTTTTGCGGTTCAGCTGCAAAAACATTCGAAATGTAAGAAGTTGAAAGTCTTACCGCAAAAACCTATGAATCTTACTGCAAGCCACAAGAAGGCACAAGAAGTTGCTGCAGGTCAAACTATCTGTTCATTTATAAGTGCCATGTTGGTGATCCAAATGCTCAGCAGCTGCTCGCAATGTTGTTCAAAGAAGTTCTTTCGGTTTGAAAATCCTACCATGGAGAAGTTCTTGCATTTCAAAAATCCTACTGCAAAGAAGTTCTTGTAGTTTTAACTTCTAACCGCAAAGAAGTTTTTGCGTCTTGCAGGATCCAAGCGCAAGCAACCCGCAAGAAGCTACAAGAAGTTGCTGTAGCTACAGCAGTTAAGTTGTGCGCACGTGATGTACAACTCTTGAAGCGGCGCGCGCTTCTGCAACAAACTTGCACGCGCAACATTGGGCAAGTTTTCAACGAGTTTCTAATTTAAACATTCCCATGTTAATTTATGTCAAGAAACGCTCTATATAGCTGGGGTGTTACTTCTGGCCATCTGAAAATGCCATCTCGTCTCTTGTTTTTACAGATGTTGTTCCATCGACGCCAGATGGGATGTATACTGTATTAGTCGTTGATAAACGGAGTGAATTTGCCTGGAAATATTGAAAAATTTTAGAATCGGTGGAGCGCGAATTATTTTCGAGATATTCCTCCATTACGGTCATTACGGGCTCAATGAGTGTAAGCTTTTCAGCCCAAGGCAGCCATTGTGGATTTTGGCTTCCTGCTTTTGCGATTTCTGGCGAGTAAATGTTTCTTTAATTGTTTTGAATTTGCTTTAAGCAAAACATACATCCCACACGTCAAAGTGAAACAACCCAGAACTAAGCTAAAGCCTGTTTCAGCTTAGAACCCAGAATTCGGCCAGGTTTACGATCATTGCATGACAATTGCTACAAAGCTCCATTTAATACAAAGCTATGAAATGAAATGCCATATGGTACTTTATAATAATGGTCCTAAGTTGAATGATAAATTCAGTGATAGATGATGTCCTGAATTTCATAGAGAGGAAACTGTACGTCCTTGCCGATTATTATCGTTGGTGTGTTACACGCATGGGCTCACATTGATTAGGTGAATTAATGAATCTATCCATGAGACACAAACTGACGATCTTATAGGCTGTGTGACATTTGGCAACCATTACTGTCACCCAAATGGGATCAAAATGCAGGTAAATAATCAATTCAGTGCCTATATCTTAGGTTGTTGGAAACAGAGTTGATGAGAGCTATCTGCAGTGTGATTGCTTTCTTGAGAATCCTCACTCAATTTCAATAATAATTTAACAGAGACATCTTTAATTATCACTTGTTGAAGGTTCACTGGAATATCTAAAATTTCCTTTGTTACAATTCTTTTTTTTTTTCATTACTCCAGTTACTTATTTCCTGAAGTATTTTCATGCCAAATTTAGTGAAGTTCTAATCAGTGGTTCTTGAGAAATAGGGGTATTTCCGAGAAAGCTATTTCACATTCAATTGCAATTTTTTGACTTACTACGCATGTGCTGCATTTAACTGTGTTCTTTTGGTTACAAAGAAAAATCTGAGAATTGCTGGGTTCTTTGCGTCGATACCTTTCCTAACATACCTTTGTAATTAAAGACTAAAACCATCAATGCACTGTTTCAATTATGGAGAAAAATAGCGTTGATAGTGCGGGCATTGAGCAAATAAAATGATCGCTGTATTGACACCATATTTGTTATTTGCAATCCCTGTGCACGTGCCGAATCGCATTAGAGTGCACACAAAAACTGTGTTTGGCCACCTTAAGTCCCAGCAAGAGAGGAACTCAACGTAAGCTTCTTCAAAGCTACACAAGGCTGCACATCTCCTGGCCTGAGTGAATTACCCTGGCCAGTTGAGGGTTGCGATAATGCTTTTGTTCCCAAATATATGAGAGACTTGTTATCAACATTTCCAGTATAAACTACGTCCATAGCACTGATCGATAATATAAATTGCCAATGGACAGACATCAACTCTGTGAAGACAACACCCAAAAATGACACAAAATGTGTACAGGCATAGTTTTTAAAGAAAAAAACGATACATGAAGGAGGAGGTTCACTTTAACTTCCAGATGACATGTCATTCATTTCATTCCTCCTCCGGGTGACATTAAAACATTTTTAAACAATTTCATTGATTTGTCCACAGACCACGAATTTTAAGGTTTTAGCTTTTAAGATTTCAATGCAAGTATTGTCGCTTATAGGACTTCGTTGTCAATTTGTCACAGCAAGTGTTCCTTAGCGTAATAACTAATCCCATTTTTCAACCCACAAAGGAATCCCTGTTTACAGGTCAAACAAAAAACCATCTTCGACCTTGTTGGACAAAAATTTACGCTTTTCTCATACTGCCATAAAACCTGCCAAACATATGCGCAGAAGTCTTTAGGACAAAAAACAATACTTAGTGGGGGAGATAGGAGAAAAAACGTTTAATCCAACTGTAATGAATAAATTAATCAGAAGTGAGTGAGTGAGTGAGTGAGTTTGTGAGTGAGTGAGTGAGTGAGTGAGTGAGTGCGTGCGTGCGTGCATGAGTGAGTGCCATTGGACTGCTTTCTAAGCTCATGGAATACTACGTCATACATGAGCAAAACTGCTGATTTTAGAGATAGACAGGAGTTTAAAGTCAGCTAATGAAATAATTCAAGGTACTTTAAAAAGTGAGGGTGTTAAACAAACTCTCATAGTCTTTCATTTCTACATAGTTTTAAAATACAATGTGCAATTTCCAAAAGGGGCAAACATTTGTAGAGTTACATGACAAAGTCATGTTGGTACATGTATGTATCTGTTTGCTCTGTTTATACTTTAGTTCAGAAGTTGAACGTGCAGTACTTTGAGAAATTCCAAAACTTGTGATGACTTCAACAGTTCTGATCCTAGCAGTATGCCTGTCACATATGAACTCAGTTAAATGACCTTGCTCTCCAGGAGTTCCCGTAACTCAGTGGATAGAGCACCCGCCCAGTGTTCGGGAGGTCATGGGTTCAATTCCTTTGTCCCAGGCTCATGTCATGTTGAGCAATTCACCTTTCACATTTTATCACCGAACTTAAAATTCACTATCTATTCTCTTATCATATCCTATAATGTTTTGTTTTTTTGTTTGTTTGTCTGTTTTTGTTTGTTTTCTCCTTTACAAAACTGAACATTAAATGTTGAAATTTATTGAAGCATACACCAAGATGATCACATGCTCTACTCTATGTTTGCTGTGGTTGGGTTGCCAACCAAAATCTTAAAATTGAAGTATTGCTAAAATGCATTTTGTCAGTACAGCACTTCATGTTTTTGTTTTGAATGCACAACACATGTATTCTTCTGACACTATAGTTATTAGTAATAAATGTTATTATTTATGTTGTGCATCAGAATAAGAAGCAAACAAAGACACTAACTAATAGCATTCATTTTAGGATCCTGAACTGGTCCGTAACATTTGCCGTTGGGTTCGAAGTGCCATTAAAATTCCATTTTTTGCCAAGCTAACTCCTAATGTCACGGATATTGTCAACATTGCAAGAGCTGCTAAAGAAGGTAGGAGATACATGTCATTTAAGCAAACCTGCTTAGAAAAGAAGTAATAAGAAATCAGTGCTAAGTTTTTGCTTTAATTGTTTTTTTTAATTTCTTAGTGATGCAAAGCTTAGGATGTAATATTCATTCTTTTCTCTAGAGGGTGGTACTTTCTCCAGGTCCTGAAATTTGTGTTTGAGTTGGGTGCATTGCACTTGCTTCATGTGGATTTAAAGGTCACCTGGCAATGTTTGACACTAATTGACACATACATGAAAAGACATATTTTAAGGTGACTTCAGGTATTACAGATTTTTTTAATCTCATTAGCATGGGCTACGATTCTCTTCCCAACGTTAGCATAGGTGGCACTGACAAAAATGACACAAGTAACCCTAATAAAAGAAGCAAAAACAATTTCAGCCCTTGAATCACGCTCAACCATCTAGGTATACATAGCAGTTAAGGTCCCTGTCCATATATGAAAAATAACTTGGCAAGGGTCGAAAATTTGATTTTGCTCATATTTTTATGGTAGAAAGGCTAGCGCACAACAAAAACTACTGGGTAGTTTTTCCGGCAAAATATCCTTTTATTTCAAAGAAAAATACAAATTACCAAATTCCATTAAAATCGTCAATTGACGCAACATTTTATTAAGAGAGTGTTGCATGCAAAACCACATTAATCTTTCGTCTTTAAAACACTCAAATAGTTTCGTGCAATGTTAAAATGTGTACTGGATTGATTTCGTCAAATTTCAATTTACGGGTTAGACATATATTTTAGCATTCGCCACAGGTCTTGGCCTATATTAAGTTGAAATAGATAATTTCTAAATGTGCTAACCTTGTTTGCTCAGGCTTCTGATATTACGCGATGGTGCGATTTTGCACAATCGACCATAAATCGCATCTGATCACACAATTCACAAAAAATTGCATAATTCACAAAAGAACGCACAAAATTCATAAAATAAAACATAAATCAACAAGTTTCTTCGGAATTCCTGCATAAATACGC